GGGCCCCAAACACTTGATGGTTAGTGTACCGCTACTGCTGTTGGTAATCAGAGCAATCATGTAGTCATTATTTTGAACAACAGAGAGAGCTGCGAGCACCCCTAAAAATGTCAAAGCTCAGTCCCCTTAACACAAAACCCAACATGACTCCGCTCCAAAGCGGTATTCAAGACTTAGCGTATCCCATCATGTATCATGTTCAGGAACTTGTGCCCCGAAATCGTGAAATGGAGGAAAACATTCCACTGTAAGTTAAAATAATTAGATATTACATATAATTTGGTAGTAAAACATAAAGTGTTTTACATTTTATTGGAACAAAGATGAGTATGTGTATTACGTATATCATTTACAACTGTTTTTATTGCTTAATTAGAAGCACCACAATTACTAAATTGTGTTCTCTGTTATAGGGACGACTGAACAGAGATTTAGAAGTTTATTTTAAAATGCAAGATATTGAAAATCAAAATAAAGCTCTGTAAACATTTGCATTTTTATAACAATATACATGTGTTCCATTGAAAAGTTTTAATGAACTTTTAATGAAAAGTTACACACACTTGTGGTGTCCTCACCCACTTGAACACTTGGAACAAATACAAGAAATACATCATGTAAGTAGACAAGTTGTCAAGTGCAAAGACTGCAAGTTTGGGTATTTGGACAGGCACCGAGATGACACTGTGGTCATAATGGGATGAACATGGCCAGCAATGATACTCAGGTAGGCTGTGGGATTTAAACAATGCTCAATTGGTACTCAGGGGTCCAAAGTGTGCTAAGAAAACGTAATCCACACCATTACAGCAGACTGAACCATTGAGAAGCAGGATAGATGTCATGCTGTTTACACCAATTTCTGACCCTACCATCCGAATGGTGCAACAGAAATCGAAATTCATCAGACCAGGCAACCTTTTCCCAATCTTCTGTTGGCTGATTTTGGTGAACCTGTGCAAATTGTAGCCTCAGTTTCCTGTTCTTAGCTGACAGGAGTGGCGTCCAGTGTGGTCTTCTGCTGCTGTAGCCCATCTGCTTCGATGTGTTGTGCAGTCAGAGATGCTCTTCTGCTTACCTTGGTTGTAATGACTGGTTATTTGAGTTATTCTTGCCTTTCTATCAGCCCTAACCAGTTTGGTCATTCTCCTCTGGCATCAACAAGGCATTTTCACCCACAGAATTGCCACTCACTGGATATTTTGTATTTTTTGGACCATTCTTTGTAAACCCTAGAGATGGTTATGTGTGAAAATCCCAGTAGATCAGCAGTTTCTGAAATACTCAGACCATTCTGTCTGCCACTAACAACCATTCCACGTTCAAAGTCACTTATATCACGTTTCTTCCCCATTCTGATGCTTGGTTTGAACTTCAGCAGATCCTCTTAACCATGTCTACATGCCTAAATGATTGGCTGATTAGATATTTGCATTAACAAGCAGCTGAAGTTGCCAGTGACTGTATTAACATAGAGATAACAAAATTGTCAGTCTGTGAGGTGGATACTTACCTACAATCAACCAAAATAAAACCTGCAACTACATACTATTGTTTGTCAGCAGCAAATAAGCTCTCGTTAAGTTTCTAGGATTTTAAAAGCACCAAAAAGTAGCAGGACATTCAGTGGTTTCATTTATGACTGCAACACATGTACATAGATGACGTCACACAACAGGCAGCTCTGCGCTTATTTTATATTGTTTATATATGATTAATGTTCTGTTGTGAAGCATTATTAATTAATAATATACTGTTATAAAGTGATTCATATGGTTTATTGAGAAGAAATATGCATTTTAAACATGCAGGTTGTACACGTAACACTTCTATAGCCTGGTAAATGATGCATAAAAGTAAAATGCCCATTAGACAAGCAATATGTGTATTTATTTATTGGTTTAAAACACCCCTGATCACATAAGATAATATTTTATACAGACTTTTGTGTGTGTGTGTGTGTGTGTGTGTGTCTATTGTAGAAGTTAGATATTTTCTTCCCCATTTATCACTCAAAAAACTCCAGTACTTGCTGCAGTGATGCTGAGGGCTGTTAAATCACTGATGGTCATTTGGGTTTATATTTAGAATGTATTTGAATGTGTTGCTTGTGCTTTGTTGTATAATGTATTACTTAAATACACACAAAAATTTGTCTGAAATGTTTTTATTGATATTAACAAGGCCAAAAAAAAAATAATACAACAAAATCTCACAAAGGCAAATTAAAAAAAAGTATAAAAAGTATAAAAACCTGAGATTTGACATATCAATAACAATATCACTCAAACTTTGTGCAGATTTGTTGAACAGAGGCAGGGGGTGGGATCATTGAGCCAAATGCCCCCCTTCTTTGTTTGACTCCTCCTCCACATCATCATAATCTGTTATTAAGAACAAAATCAAAAACCACGTCAAATAATATAATTAGAAGAATATTTTAAAAGTCAAAAAATTGAAAATTATTTCAAATATTACAATATAAATAAAGATGTTAATATAATGAGAACAAAAGGGTTACAGTAACTTACCCAATAGGTTTCTCACATCTTCACTGACACTCATCACATCATCATACTCCTCCTGAACTCTCTCTGATCCAGAATGACAAAAAACAAGTCATATCATTTGAGGCATCCCTTTTCCTTTAAGTGACTTGAACAAATGTCTAATACTCATCTAAACATGCAAAGGGTGATAAACATGTAGTTCTGTGCATCTCACCTGTTACCCCTCGAGAGCTCGGTCTATTAATGATGACATCATCATAATTCTCTGGTGTGTTCACTACACATGCAAATATCAGTCCAAATTAAATGAGCCAAAAAATAAAATAAATAAATAAAATATTAACAATATTAACAGAAATATTATCTGTAATGATTTGATTTTAAAGTAATATTATTTTAAAAAGTTGATAAGAAAGATAAGAAAGTTTCTTGATATCAGAGTTCCGTTCGCTCGTCATGACATCATCATAGCTCTCAGGTGTGTCTTCTACAGATTCACACATTCATCACAGACACACATTCATTACATTCAGAACAAATTAGAAATATCTATCTTAAATATACTGTAATATTTAAATTTAAATGCTGCTGTAGAATATCAGGGTGACACCTGTCTCACGATCTGGTTTCAGTCCATCAGTGATGACATCATCATAGTATCCCGGTGTGATTTCCTTCACCATCTCTTCTGCATCAACACACAATATGTTTGGATACAAAAGCCAAA